AATAATAATAATAATTATTATTATTATTATTATTATTATTATTGTTATTATTTCCTTTGATTTTTAGTGTGTACTCATTTCTTTCCGGATCTCGACCAGAGACCTAAGGTCAGAACTTTCCACGGAGCAAGTGAAAAAAAAATAAGAAAAAAAAAAAAAAAATAAACACATATTTTACATAAATAATGCCCTTTGAAAGGATGTGCGTTGTAGTGTAATGGATATCGAGTCTTAGTGAGAACTCGGAGAGCAGAGTTCGAATTCCAGTCGAATTCGTTAGATTCACTTACGCATAAATACCCTTGGGAAAGGTAGGACTCCATCTCCTACCCCAGCTATGGGTTGAATAGCAGGACAAATTTGGTAACCAGTCTAACGCAGAAAGAAATGGCAACCCACTGCAGGAAAAATTAACTGAATGTATCGAAGGATACATGATCGCCCAAGCGTGACACTTAGCAGATTGAAGGTGTGAGAACAATGTTTTGTATCTCTTTAAGGCATGGGATGCCAGGAATCCATTCAGTGAGTCTATTGAAATCTTTTCCAATCAATCCGAAGGCTCCAACTACAATAGGGATTGTTGATGTTTTCAAGTGCCACATTTTTGAGATTTTGATTTCAAGGTCCTTGTATTTTGATAGTTTTTTGAAGATCTTCAAAGATGCATTGCAGTCTGCAGGGACTTCCATATCAATAAGGAGGCACTTCTTTTGTTTGCGGTCTCTAATAACAATGTCAGGACGGTTAGCTTTGTTCTGTCTGTGTGTATTGTGTAGTCCCATAAAATTTATTATTATTATTATTATTATTATTACAGTGAATGTAGAAATGGGTCGAAAGTTAACTGTAGGAATTTCTATTATAATTATTATCTGAGAGATCAACACGCTGGTGTACAAATACACGAAGCCTAGTATACCAAGCTGACACTCAGTTAGTATAAGAGTATACTAAGCACATGCATCACAGCCAAATGTGCACGCTAAAATGACACGTCTTGGAAAAAGCAGGTAGGAGCCACTTAGAAATACCTTCAGGTCGGGTAACCTTGTCTGCTCAGACAGCCACCCATTAAGGCTGGTTTCAAGTATCTAGCTTACACCCGGTAATTGCCTTAATATAAATCAACCCTATTGATATACGGCCAAGATAGTTCCCAACAATTCTCGCTCATGAACAAAAACGCGCGGTACGTCAGTCTCTAGGGGACATGCCCAGATGGTTAACGCGAGGCAACTTACAAGCTAATCTGCGCAAGTGAACATCGAGACAAAACATGTGCATATTAACCCTGCAAATCAGTCGTTTTTGAATGGATTTTTTCATCTAACTTAATTTCTTATGACTACAAACGTTATTTTTAGTGCTTACATGTGTTTGAGTAGCTAGTCCTGTTTTTTTTCTTAAACAGTGAAATTAATAACAGTCAGCCTTTAGTAGAACTTCTTGATCTAGGCCGGTTGATATTAATTTCATTGTATAATAAAATAAAAAGAACAAAACAGGGATAGTAACTCAAACAATTGTACCCATCATATATAGCATTTATAGTCATAAGAGAAATACTGCCAATAAATTATTGTTATTATTATTATTAATACTATTTGATTTCTGTTGTATACACATTTCCTTCCGGGTCCCAACCAGAGACCACTGATCACTTTTTTGTAAAATATCATAAAAAAAAAACAAAAAAATACTAAGATCACACACGTTTTTTATATCTAAAGCTTTTTGTAAATGTTTGAGTTGTACTTGTGAGTACAATTTTTTTGTATTTCATTAAGCTATGGACTACCGGGAATCTTTTTAATAAGTCTATCGGAACATTTTCCAACCAATCCGAGTGCTCCAACTATAACTGGAATTATTGATGTCTCCATGTGCCACTTTTTTTTTTTTTTTAGATTTCCACTTCAAAATCCTTGTATTTTGAGGTTTTTTTTTTTTGAAGATCTTCAAAGATGCATTACAATCTGCAAGGAATGCCATATCAATAAGAAAGCAGATTCTGTTTTTGTGATCCTTGATCAAAATGTCTGGGTGATTAGCTTTGATTGTTCTGCCTGTATATATTGTAAAGTCCCATAAAATTGTTACGGGTCCTATCTCTGGAATTGGGTCTGGGTGATGTTCATACCAGTTTCTTGCAGTTTCGTTCTCGTAAAAGTTGCATATTTTCCAGTGGAGATATCGGCCCACTCTCTCACGCCGAGTTTTATATTCGGGGGGGGGGTCGGCAACACCGTGCAAGAGAATCAATAGTTTCTGGATTATTATTATTATTATTATTATTATTATTATTATTATTATATGAGGGGGGAAATGCATTGGTTGTTTTCTATATTTTAAATAATTAATGGTAAAAATATAGAAAGAAAACTGGCATGAACAAATAAGAATAAATGGTAATGTAATAGCAGCCTGTGCTCCCCTACTCATTAATGAGATCTCATTAATGAGTCGGGAAGACCATGCTGCTGATATTCTAGTGATAATGTGAGGCATATTATTATTGACTTCAATTTATAAATGGATACATCGTCAACAAATTGAGGAGACCAGACTGCATGACCAATAATTATATAGTCATATCATGTTTTAAATTATCGAAAAGATTATCAGGAATGGGAAGAAGAAGGAAAAGAAGAAAGATAAGTAGTTGATCTAACCAAAGACCTACCCCTACAATTTCTTGTTCAAACGTAATATAGATCCAAATGTAAACGTCGATTGAATGTGATAACTCATAAAAAATGAAACGTCATAAAAATGAAATTTGACACATTTTACCGGAAATGACTGACCGGAACTCAACGGAAGCGTTCAGTTAGAGTAAAAGAAAAGAAAAAGAAAGTAAGGAGGAAATAAACCTGATGAAGGTTCACAAAAAATTTATAGGTAATAAATATCAGATTCATCCAAATTAAATATATTATTTCCCGGTTGAAATGACAAGGATGACAAAATGTGCACCAAGTTTTGTTTTTTTTATGTACTTACATCTGTCTTGGCGTTAAGTTAGTTGTAGGGAAATATTTTAACTCAGTGCCCATTCGCTTACTGTCTGACCTGTCAACCATCTTGACATCCCAGCGATAAAACATAAATCAACCGAAGAGAGTACGAATGTTGGAATTAGCCGTTTCCATAAAGGAAATATTCGATATTCATTGACCAAACAGTTAGCGTTATTAGCGGTGATTTTGTGCCTCTCCAAAATGTATAATACTGAACGACGAGAAGCAGCCGCAGCTGGAGTTCGAACTACGCTTGCTGGTTCCAATTTCTAGGCTCTTACGCCTTCCCGCATCTCCTATTCCTTAGACGCTAAAATCATTTCATGAAAAACTTTTGCAAGGCTACACGGAGAAAGCATCCAGGGAGTATCAAGCTCATTATACTGATAAATAGAATCTCAAATTAATAATTTTAATACAGAGAATGATTCGAGTATAGGTCGATCCCAGTTTTAGAAGCAAATGGGCCAATACATGAGTGTCATAGCTCCATAATTTATGGCATAAAATTCTTCTTTTTTATGTGCCGTCTACTTTCAGGGCGTGGTCGATCACGACTCTCCGCAACTTCCTATCCGTTGTAGCTCTTAGCAATGTTTGTCTTTTCACTGTCCCTCCCAATTCTTGTAGTGCCACTCATTTACACAACCTTGTTACGTAGGTGATCATGATTCTTCACTACTATCTACTACTATTTACACATTTGTTTTTTATCACCCCCACCCCGCCAAGCAAATCAGTAAAGCTACAAAAAAACAAAAAAAAAACAAACACTTTTAATGAGAAGAACAATAAAAGAACAGGAATTAAGAAGACAGAATATAACGATTGATATTGCATTCAAATTTTCGAAGTTCAAAGTTGACCGGAAAGCAAGAAAACGGAAGAGTTCCACAAGCGAGAAATGCGATAGAAGGAACTGTTAGCGTAGAACCTACGGTTAAAAATAATTGTAAAATAATGAGACCTTGTTGCCAATCTAGTACTGCGCTTTGTTTCATAAAGGAAAGTTCATCAGAACAACTACCATGAAAATATTTATAGAAAACGCACAAGGAAGCTATGTTACGGCGGTGAGAAAAGGTATATGTTCGGTTATAGGCTCTAGGAGTAAAGTTGAAAAAGTGTGACACAGTGGCACACTGACATTCGCACTTATTATATGGATATATTATGGCACATTTATTGGGGAACAGTGCTCAGTATCATAGATAAAAATTTTATAAGTATAGATAGTGTAGACATAAGAATCAACTCAGCATATAGTGCAATTTTCACTCTTCACTGCAACAGTCATCATTCAGTTTTGGTTACTATGAACAGGTTCAGTAAATCCACATACATACATACATATATGTTATATATGATTGGTGTTAATATTTCTAATGGTTCGTCTAATTTGTTCATCAATGATGTAATTAGGAAAATCAGTCCTGTCCATCTTCACAATCCAGGAAAATACTTGTTGACAACACCAATCATGAAAATAATAAACAAAAACTTCAAATTCTTGAGGCCTCCTTCTATATGAAAATCAACTAAGCGACACTCAACAAAATTTATTACGAGTGTAGTAGCAATTTTTAATAATGAATTTGAGCAACATTTAATGCCATTTGCATTTTTAGCATCACTGGATTTAGTGCAAAAGAAAAAATAAATGACACCATAACTACAACGGATAAATTTAAAAAAATTAAGAGATTTATAACAGAACGCATTCATGCGTGTTTACAAAAATCACCATCACAATGGTCAAAGTTACAATAAGTTTGTTTTTGCAATTCACCCCTGGGAATGACCTCGGAGGAGATCGAAAGTGCTTGGGTTAACAAAAAATACGACGTCTTCCTTGATGAATTTCAACTTAATATCAAGAAACTAATTAGAAAACTCGAAAGGATTATTGCAAAAAGAAAGACATAATATGACTATATTATTCAATATATATAGATATAGATATGTATTGTTACTTACAAGATAGATAGATAGATAGATAGATAGATAGATAGATAGATAGATAGAAATATATATCGCTACTTACCATTTATAATTTTAAGATATGTTACTATCATCGCCAATCTATTTTGTATTCTTTATACGTCTTCCATCCGCCCGTCTATTGAATATTTCTGTCACATCTAGTCTGGTGCTTCTGCTATTTATCTAGAAATTCTTGAAAAAAATCTAAAAAGAATCTGCAATGTTATTGATCCTGATCTAGCATCTCGGCTTCAGTCTTTTCCCACCGCTGTAATGTAGTTCCCTTCTGACATTTGTTCAGAGTAGCTTTCCTTTTTGCTACCTCGACTTTACGAATTTAAGCGCAGTACTAGATTGGAACCTAGGTCTCACTATTTTACTATTGGAATTGTAAGCGCAAGTTCTATGTTAATATTTTCTTCTCTTGCACTTCTTGATTGTGGAACTCTCTTCCAGCTTGCTTTCCCGTCAATGACGATCTTCAAAAATTTAAATGTAAAATCATTGTCATCTTCTGGTCTTTTATTTATCTCGTCAGTCATTTTTTCTCAGTTTCTTTAACTAACAGTAACCCCTTGCGTCTTAGTTGCTTCATCATCTTGCTTCGGGTGAAATGTTTAAAAGAGAAATTCCAAGTATTGTTCAAAGAACTTAACACATTCTTTGTATTATTGCCACCTTTCAGTAATTTGCAGCCTTCTTCAGATATGCAATTACAGTTAACGTGGAAAGAGAAAATTCTGTTTTTTTTTTGTTTTTTTTTTTTTTTTTCAGAATTAGTAGCGAGCAGAAGAGAAATTGAGGCGAATATACCGACAGGTTAGGCTTATTGGTAGAAACTTGAACCACCCAAATGGCTCTTTTCTCAATAAGCCGTGTAGCAGTACCTCCTCATGGATTCATCACATTACTGGTATTTGTTCAGCTTCACTTAGTTTAGCACAAAACGGAAAGTGGATTAAAGTGGATTAACATGGATCAAAATGCATCCCCGTTCCTCTGTAGAGTAACACTTTAATATCTGTTCGCTCTGCCTAGCATAATACGGGTAAGATAATTGTGCCATACTGTTCAAGCAGCAGAACGATAGCGTAATGGATATATCAATACTTATCTTCAGGCCGGACACAGTTTGTTTTATATATATATATATATATATATATATATATATATATATATATATATATATATATATATCGAACACAGTCCGTTATATATATATATATATATATATGTAATGAACAGTGTCCAGCTTGAAGATAATTATTGATATATCCATTACGCTATCGTTCTGCTGCTTGAACAGCATAGCAAAATTATATTGTCCATATTATGCTAGGAATTAGTGATATCCCCTGATGAGTGAACGGAGTGAGTGCTGAAGTGTCCGTCGACGAATCTCTGGAGTCAGGATGCTGAAGGTAACACCAATCACTTAAATGGCAAACTATATTTGTATCAATTCTCTCTCTCTCTCTCTCTCTCTCTACACACACACACACAGACTCGCAGACAGACAGACGCACACACACACACATATATAAAAGAAGACAAAGGAAAAACTTATGACTTTATTCATATTGTCCTTTTACGGATATATACTACCTGAAATTTTACAATTTTTTTTACTAATGTTCACACAAAGCCCAAGAGCCACACAACGTAGAGGGTTACTCTGCGGTGTGGTATTAGCGTAAGAAAAGGTTAGAAGTGAAGTTCTCGGGTCTATGCAGGAAAGGTAACGGCTAACTGGTGCTTGATTACCCTGCTAAAATCTAATAGCAATGGAAGACTTTTCCTGGTTATATATATATATATATATATATATATATATATATATATAGATAGATAGATAGATAGATAGATATAGATATATAAGGTAAATATAAACGTGAACACTGAGATCAGCACCGAGCGGTGACAGTCTGTTTTATGCTTCAACTTCTGTCGAGTGGATCGAAAATTTACGCAAAACTTCGTCGACGAAACCCCGTAGTAGAGGTGCTGAATAAATTAATCAGCTAAGTCAAAAAATTTAATATTTGTATTAATCATCTTTCTTTCTTTCTTTCTTTCTTTCTTTCTCTCTCTCTCTCTCTCTCTCTCTATATATATATATATATATATATATATATATATATATGTATTAGTAAAATCGATGACAAAGTGTAAACATTTTTCGTGCGACGCGTCTCATTGTTTAGGATTTTAAAGTGATGTTACATTGATATAAATATACATCCTAATATTGTTCCGGTATATAACAAATTAGATATAATTTTCTCCCCATATATATATATATATATATATATATATATAATAATAATATATAAAAATTTTATATATGAAGAAAAATTTTGAAGGAAGAATGCATGATAAAGTAAAAGTTTTCGGGTGACAATAAATTAAAAATATAAAGTGGCGACAATTTACCCACATATATATATATATATATATATATATATATATATATATATATATATGTGTGTGTGTGTGTGTTTGAGTGTTGTCATTTTTAATAATATCTACTATGACCACGGTCACAACGAGCTGATTGCTTTTAGAAAATTAAAATGTAACATTCCCATCACTGTAGATACACATACCTACATATTCAGCTAAAAATAATAAAAGAATCTTTGATAATGGCTAATAGAATAGAGAAATATTTTAAAATTTTAAATTCGGAATTTTCAGACACATAAGCGGAATAAACAAGAAATTCCTTTCGAGGAATATTGTTGTTGTTGTTGTTGGCTAGAAGAAAGCTCCCTGTGCAACTTATACTCTCTGAGTAAACTCAAATCCCTGTTTAATCCCTCAATGTATAATTAAACAGAGATTTGGGGTATACTCAGAGAGTATAAATTCCACATGGAGAACTGACCACCAACAGTAACATTCCTCGGAAGAGCAAGTTCCGCTTCATTATAATGAGTTCCAAATTGTTATCCTGTATTATTCTTGCTGTTCGTGGCTTTGCATTTTCATGGAGGGAAACAGCATTTTTCTTTTTATCCACTGTGTACGCTGCCATTGCGGTGCGAGAGACTAAGGTATGGTAATATACTCCAAATTTATTCTTAAATGCCACATGTGATTAAGAGTTTGGATGATACATTCGTCGTTACAATTGGTTTCCCCAAAACGGAAATTACCTATGACTCAACTTAATATATGCATTCATAGAAATACATACGAATAAAAAAACAAAAAACAAAAAACAAAAAAAAACGAATTAAGTTAATTACATAATATAATTATATAAATTACAGCAATTAAAAAGATTATATTAAAATTATATGATACTTCACTTCTAAGGAAATATTAGTAATTAATAATTATATCTGTAAATAATATAATTAAGTAATATATACATGTAGATTACATACATACATACATATATATATATATATATATATATATATATGTGTGTGTGTGTGTGTGTGTGTGTGTGTGTGTGTGTGTGTTTGTGTTTTGTGTGTAATATGTATTTAAGTTTGATGTAAACCTTTTAGATTTTATGAAAACCTTTTAGCAAGTAATGCATTTTGTTACATTTTTAGCCAGCTTTTTTGTTTGATTGATAAAGAACGCATGTCTTGAATCAATGAATGTAAATTTTGCCCAAACGCTGTGGATATAATATTTGATCCTATCAAAAACAAAAAGTATCCACACATTTTCCCTGATCTTGATAACGGCTAAAAGTATAATCGAAATTTGTAAACGTCATGTTCACATTCACTTTAAACCTTGCAGGCTAGCTTAATGGGATAACCGGGGAATCTTTTATTGTAGAAGGACTTCTAGCACGCGTTTTTCATATGCACACGCAAAAAAAAAAAGAAGTCGGGAATGTCTTTACTGTTGTCATGAGGCTCTAATGGGTCAAGAATGGCGTTCTGTGTTGACAGCAACTACTAGATTCATGTAAATGACGATTGTTTGCGTGTGCAAAGTACACTCTTTACACACATACTGTCTAAAACTTGACATTATGCCATGGGGCGCCATAAGTTACCACTTTTGTTCGCGTTTGGTTTTTTTTTTAGGGAATATTGAATAGCATCATATCTGTCAATAAAAGTTCATTTATACATCCTTCTACGGATATATAGTGTTGTACAAGACCTTTCTTTTTGTGAAAACCTGGACATTTGTGTCCGGTAGGGTGTAAAGATTTCTTAGTTACAGATCATATTACAACAACCATCAAGTATAACTTTAATTTCTAGTGCAACTGAGAAAAAATAACTTCGGAGACGGACCCACGGTATTGTGTAAGGAAAGTGAGTCCCCACCCTCAAGAAAAAATCAATCCGGATCATTTTAACTACGCGAGTTGATATCATTCATTAGCACCCATGCTAGATTTCCAAATTGGTGGAAGGGGACATTGGAAATTTTGAATTTGCTGTCTTCCAAATTTTGAGGGTTAATTTAAAAATAAACTGTGCTATTAATGTGAAGAATGTTAATTCAAAATTGGCTAACTATTCAAGTGATCGAGATTTGTAGTTCAAAGCGATGTGATGCTACAAATGGACGACATTGACTGAATATGTGAGCAATATGCGGATGTTTTAAAGAAAGCGTGAACTAAAAAGACACGTAAAATAAAAAATCGACAGTTGGAATTTCTGGGAACAATTATGAGGAGAGAGAGAGGAAGAGAGAGAGAGAGGGGGGGGAGAGAGGGAGGGAGAGAGAGGAAGGGAGAGAGAGAGCTTGGAAAATATAATATTTACATGATATCAGCAGGAGTGACAAAGGGAAATAGCGAGCAACCTAGTTAACGTTTGTGTTTAAACGGAAGACAAGGAGCTAGCGGAAACAGTCGAACGTAGTTTTAGGCTACAAAGGAGAAGTTGTGGAGAGCTCTGATCGGCCACGTCTTGAAGGGAGACATCAGATAAAAAAGCGAAGACCAATATGGAACCCTCCTCCCACTGTATCTTAGATGATTCTAACTTATAAACAGGAGATACTGTAATTATGAGATAGGAGCAGGAGGAATACGGGATTGTTCCAGCGGATGACGTGTTTATGATAAAGTTATTG